AACTGTTAAAATATTTTTTTTAATTAAATAAAAATATTTCCGAGTGGTTTTTAAGGATTTCATAATTTTCTAGGGCATAGATACTCATGATTGACGAAGGAAAATTATTATTTGAATTTTTAATAAGGTACAAGTTAGTTGAAAAATTCGTCCAAGGGGGTTAAGGGACCTTGGGAGTTGGGAGTGAGTCTCGAGGGCTAGATTTTGAGGAGAGTATTTTCTAGTGATTCAAAAGGGGATTCTAAATCGAGAAAGGTCGACTAAGGAGATGGCCTTCTTATTAATAGGTTTACCAAGATAATTCGGCTAGGAGGGATTTCTTCGATTAAGGAATCGAGGAGTCATATATTCAAGGTGAGTGTAAAGGGGATAAATTCTACGCCTTACGTGTTCTTTCAAGTATTACGAGCTTTAAGTATTGTGATGAAGTGATTGTCATTGGTTGATTGTGGTTATGGTTGATGATATGTGATTTTGTTTGAGCTATGTTTGAAGTGAATGTCCGTGAGTTATTATTTACTTTAAAGCTTTACGTTTATAAGTTATTGTTAAAGTTTAAGAAACAAGTTCTTTTAAGAAGTAACTCACCTTCAAGAAGGTGAAGTTTTTTTAAGTGTTTTTAGTCACTAGCGCTAGTTCGTTGCCATTTGAGATTTTCAGACACAACAACATTTATGCTCTTGAGACTTTTAAGATGAGCAGCAGTTATGCTCTTGAGATATTTTAAGATGAGCAGCATTTATGCTCTTGAGAATCGTGGTGAAGAGTCACCACGATAAGTTTAAGTTTAAGGAAAGCCTGGATGGTCTCTCATACATATGAGTTGGCAACCGGACTTGCTAGTGAGGGATCCCAGTGTCAGTCAAGTATCATCCACCAGTTTACGTTAAGTTCTTAAGTAAGAAATACTAGAGTTTTCAAACGTAAGGGCGTAGACTGACCCCAACTCACTCACCATATCATAGAGGAGGAAATCCTAACCAGCCAGTCCGTGATCAGCAACCTAGAGGAGCTCAACACCACCGTCACTGAGAGATGTCGAGCCAGGCGTCAGAGTAAGCTTGGAAGAACTTTTTCAAGTTATTAAGACTTTATGGTTAAGAGTTAAAGATTTGAGATTCATTTCTTTTGGACGATTTGAGTTTTGCCCACATGTTTAGGGCTTCGATTTGAGATATTAAGATATTTAAGTTTGGTATTTTATTTAAAGTTGTGTCATTTGAGATTTTTAATTATACCCCGGGGTAGAAATGTCTTTTTCAAAGTTGAAAGTAGTGGGATGTTTCAGGAGATAAACTACTCCTCATCCTATATCATCTAGGTAATCCCTGAGGGAGTTGATTGGATCGATCTCCTACGATATAGGTGAGCCTTAGGTGGAATAGAGCACCACCTATCCATCACTTTGTCATTCCGAGTCTGTCTCGAGGGAGTCAACCTCCTAACGCTAGGGTAGTGATTCGATCATGCAAGGATGGTACTTAACATCGATCAAATGATAGAACTAGGGGCATTCAAACCTAAGAGATCTCTCAACTTGTAATTAGCTATGTTAGTTAGATTAGTTTTCCTAATCACTATCCTAAGTTGGCTAGATAAAAAAACCCTAAACCCGAAGTAAGGTAAGCCTAGATCGCCGTGGTATAATAAATTTTATTGCTTGCTTACCCTATGATACACCCGGTCTTCGGTTATACTTAGCCGTCGATTAGGAATGGTGTTTCTAGAGTTGAACCAAGTTTTTGGCGCCGTTGTCGAGGAGCATTCTAGGTTATCGGTAAAAGGCTTAGCCTATTACTTTAACCATTTATTTGTGTTTTTTGTTTTTTCACCCACTCTTTGCTTAGAAGGGTGGTTTGTGTTATTTTATTTTATTTTGTCCGTGCAGGTTGAATCATGAATCTCAATGGCTTCTACAACATGTGGGGCTATCCCAACTACCCTAATGGGGGGACCCCGGAGCTTCATGGGATGATCAAAATGGTGGAAGCCAAGGAACCAGGTTCTATGATCAAACTTCCTTCCAAAAAGAGAAACCATACCAATGGAGGTATCAAGAAGCTTCCCCATACCAATAATATTTCCCTCCATAACTCGTGGTGAAATCCAAGTTGGAGTTGGCCACGAAGGCTTTCATAGGGAATTTGATACCATGTGCCACTCCACAACTAGAGCCAAAGAGAGAATTGGAGCTCATGGTAGAGCAAATTTTCCTTTGGCACCAACAAAGGATTCTCCAATGCGGATCTTCCCATTGCTGACCCTATCGACTCATCCTTCGTACGGGCATCAGAGGATATCCTTCAAAACACGGTGAGGCTAGGAGGGATTGTTGAGCAAGCATGTGTACAACCTGCTCATAGTCGTCTCCTACCAATTAAAGAAGGAAAGGAAGTCAAAGAGTCAAGCCATGAGTACTTTGAAAGAAAGAGCTCCAACATGGATTTCCAACCCCTTCCTCCTCCCGGTTTGACACTGGAAGAGAAGGTTTCACGAGCTTGTGCACACTACCGCCTCTCACCATTGAAATAAGAAGAGGAGATTGAAAGGTTGATCAATGACAACCGTATGGAGTAAGAGGAACTCGTCCCGTTGAGCTCCCGTAGTGAGGATGAACAAGAAGATTGCATTGATCACCTTCTCGAGAATAAGTTTGAAGACATGAATGGGAAGGTGAGAGAATAGGTTGAAGAAGAGGTAGTGAGCTTTGAAGAGGAGGAAGATTTTGGTTGTTCCCAAGGGGAGGAATCAAATTTTGAAGAAGTAAGGGAGGTTGAGGTTGAAGTAGAAAGAGCAAGTGAGGTCCAAGATGAGGACGAGGTCATGGTGGATGAAGTTTCAACAAGTTACAAGTGCTACCAAATATTTCCACCCAACCTCAATTCACTTTTGGAGAAGGACCCATTTGTGGCTCTTTGCCCAGCCGAGGCCAAACCATCGACGATCCCTCTTGGTGGTGCGATGGGGGTCAACCCATGATGCATTCCATGGTGTGGGATAAAGAGAAGAAAGAAGAAGGAAAGAAGGAGAGATATCCTGGGTGGAGCTTCAAGACTACTCAAGTTCACGAGCCCTAAATCATGAACTCGTCCAAATCTCGAGCCTTGAGACACCACCTCACCGATGAGAACCTCAACTTGAAGGAGGTGCTAGGATGGACTGAAGCTTAAAGAGCTTGAGACACTCCTTCTAGCTTATGACTTAAAAGTAGTGTTTGTTGGGAGGCACAACAACGCTTGTTTGCATTTTTTTTTTCTCCTTATTTTCTTCTTTTTTGTTTGATTGAGTCAAGTGGGAGAGTCTTGAATGATCACCATGTCAGGGTCTATGTGTTTGATTGTTTAAATGAGACATGTTTGGGTTAGGTGCACGGTTGAATTGATTAAGAGTTGAAATTTGTCAAAACGTCCTATTTTCGCAATTGTCACGATTTAAGTCCATTTGTCACGATCTCTCGACTGTGATAATTTTAGTCGAAACGTGATACTCACGTCAAAAGCACCATTTTGGGACAAAGTGACGGGGAAGGAGTAGTTATCAAAATCTCCAGACCGTGAATTTTTACCTCCACTCGTAACAATTGCCCTAAGGTGTCCGGGCGCCCCTTCACCAAAATGTTGGGGCGATTTGGCTCAACTTTTTCTGGCGGCGCGATTTTCTGGCGAGCCTCCGGTGAGCTTCAGACAAAGCTCCGAAGAGCCTCTCCGGTCAGGTTTAGGCTGATTGTCAATCCCCTTGCCATCTCCTCACCTTACTCTTCGATCCTACTTGCTTGTCCAGATGTGTTTTGAACTTTTCCTTAGTTAATTGTGGAGAATCGGATTTAGAGTTCTAAGGTGGGGAGATTCGGGAAAATATTGCATGAATATCTATATCGGGCGAGGGGTTAGTTGAATTAGGGTGTTTGGATGATGCATGAAGTGTTAGTAGAGTTAATTGGGCCTTGGTGGGCAAGATTTGGCATGATTTGTGTTTTGAGTTGGAAAATGCCCATCATGTGCAGTTTGTGAATGAATGAATGAATTGCTACACTTTTATGCATGATGGTTGGTGGTCGTTGGTGCATGATCTAGGTTAGATATTGCAACAATTTTGATCTATGGAACTTCTAGGTTCATGCCCCGGTGAGACTTGTGAATGTTTGAGCTTAAATTATGGCAACCGATCTTGTGAAAAGCCTATGGAGGCATGCTTTAATACTCCAAAATGAAGAATGTGTAGGAGTTTGTTTTTCCCCATGATATTTTTATTGACGATGCTTTCGTGTATGGTGCATTTTCTTTGAAATTTTGCAGGATGGTTAATCCGACGCATCAATACATTCACTATATGGTGAACCACATGTCATATGGAGACGCCTTCGAGACGTGGCACAACATGGACATTGGGCGACATTGGCAGCTCGATCTTAACATGTTCGATCTCATCCACTGTCGGACCGCTATTTCAACTATCGTCCTTCATCTAGAGTTGCGCACCCTCCTGAGTTTCTATGAGACCATCTTTTTGAAGCTCTGTGTGGAGTTTTTACTTCACATTTCGGCATATGCAGCTAAAGAGCCGACACGAGCTTCCCTATGTGGAGTTTATGTTTGGAGGGCGCCACCACAACATTGGCTATGCCACTCTTGCTGGGGCCTTGGGATTGCATACCGACATCATGACGATCTCTAAGAGAGAGTACAATTGGGGGTCGTTCCACATAGGGTGTACAAGGCGATCTGCCTTCTAGTAGAGAGCCACCGCCATTTCAACGCCCCACACACTAAGGACATCTAGTTCAAACCCAAGTGAAGGATCCTACACGTGCTTCTCACTCGCTCGGTGATTCAGAGCCTCCAATTGGGTCATCTAGTTACCCTGCACAGATAGTGACGCTCCACACCATGAGTCGACACACAAAGCCACTCCACCTCAATTTAGTAGTGTCATCCTCCTTCTCTAGAATTTTCAGCCAGCACCGAGTCCCCACTATGAATATGTGCCCCATCATCACCCGGCTAGCCCAATACTTCAGAGTAGACACCATGATCTACATGGAGGTGGGGTTGACAGAGATCTTCCTTGTGGAGACACTCGGCATCATGGGATTGCTCCAAGTCAAGAGAAACATCTGGTTCATTCAGGTCATTGACTTGCGGCATTGTTCCACCCCGTGGTGGACCAGACACCCGAGTCGGAGCCAGCATAAGAGGCACCAGCACCAACACCACCCCAACCACCTCAAAGGCGTCATCATTTCTTTTGGAGAGCTCTTTGTCATCGGCAGAAGCCAGAACTTCCTCGTCCTTGGTCAACCTTGATGCCTCAGTGACTCGCCTTGAGCATCTGTTTTCCAAAGTATCCTCCAACTCACTAGAGAGCAGGTTGCCAGGGTACACGCTCATGTCTTGATGGAGGTGCTTGTTGAGCATCGGGGCGTTCGAGTTCAGGACAATTGGTAGGCTTTCCCATCTCATTGACAGGAGCAGTCCCCAGGACTTGCTAGCCATGATGGAACCATCATACAAGCTTTGACTCTAAACACTCTTTTGTGTCTTTTATGTTCTAAACTCGTACTTGTGTGGTCCGTTTTTTGTTTTATTGTGATGTTGGCTTTTGTGTTTTGAAATAACCTCGCATTGTGCAAGAATGTGTTGTTTTGTGTTTTTCCCATGTAAAGCTCTCTCTCGCCTCTTAAAAATGGGCCAATTTTGTTTGGACTTTCACACACCACATTCGGTAACATCGTTCTACCTCCTTATTTTACGCCATTGAGGGCAATGTAGAGTTTAAGTGTGTGGGTGAAGGGGGGGGGGGGGTGGCACCGGTAGTCTATTATGTTTGTGTGTGTTAATGATTGAGTGCTTGGAGCCTAATTATATGTCCAAATTTTAAAAATTTGAGAGCTCCAAGCATTTCAATTTCTCATTTGCATGATCATTTTGGCCGGTTGTGGAGGATCTCATGATTATTAGCTCTAATGTTTGGATGCTTAGCTTGTGATTGAGTGCAACTTTTGGTGATGGTTGAGAAATGCATTTGTTTTTTGCAAGTGTTTGGTTCTTATGTGCCTTGAAACCAATTGATGTTTAGGATTTATTACTCATTGGTCACAATTTTCGTGCATCGAAACTTTTGAACTTAGAATGAATGATTGAGCATCTAGGCAGCCATGTGAGTTTTGTGCCACTCGTTTTCTTCTGATGAGATAGATCCCTCTTACCATGATGAGTAGCATTCATGTTGTCACTAGCAAGGAAGATGGAAGCATAGCTTTAATCCATGACCCAAAATTTGACTTGTCCCTATTGTGTTATCCCCTAGTCAATCCTTTTGAGCTGTGTGTCTGAGGGTCGCTCTCGTGTTGGGTAGCTCACGCAAATTGAGCTTGCTTGAGATAGATAGAGCAACCCTATTTTCTTCAAGTCTACACCATTTTCGATCCACCCATTTGGAAGCTCGAATCATATCATTTGAGCTTAATTGAGGTTCCAAATGAGTGATTTGTGCATGGTTTGCTAAGGATGAAAAAGTGAGTGTTGGAGGAAGTTCTTAAAAGTGAGCATTGTACATTAAGTTCAAGAATGTGGCATGTGTTTTTAGTTCTCTATTAGCCCTCAACAATTGAAAGGAACAGAAAGAAAAAAAAATAAGAAACAAAGAGGGCTAGGAAGAAAAGAGAGTTGCCACATAAGTTGATTATGCTCTTAAAAAGTGTTTCGTGGCATGCAAGCTACTGAGACACTTACATGTTTGTTTACTCTTGTGATTCACAAGTTTGATAGCATTGGTAGCAAAAGCTTGATAGCATTGGTAGCAAAAGTGTTTCATGGCATGCAAGCTACTGAGACACTTACATCCTCCTTCACTCTTGTGATTCAAAAGTTTGATAGCATTGGTAGCAAATAAAGTATGTGTGGATAGTGTTCGTGATTGGTTGTGGTTTAGAATTGGGGAAGTGTGGTTTTTGGCCGTTATTAGTGGTCATTGTTTGTTAAGGATGGTTCTAGATCCAAACTACGAAACCTTGTGCTGGTTATAGGTTTAAGATGTGTAACTTCATGCTATGTTTGCCACCACCCAAAAAGCCATTTCCCTATGTCCTAGACCCTAGCCAGTCATTCGAACTCATATATAAGACCTCTGGACAAGCTAGTGGTGACTCCCATCCTTGTGAACTCAAGCATGTAGAGGATGTCATCATGGTCCTGACCCACTGGCCGAGAGTGAATGATTTATTCATTCATGTTTTCATGTTCATATCATATCCTAGTGAGCACCTAGTTTACTCGATCATTTGTTCTTTTGGATCGGTCTTTATGCATGGTTAACTGTGATTGGTGAGTCGTCTTGACAGTTCATGTTTTGTTTTGAGAGCAAAGTGAGACCTCTTCACTTGCACGTCCTTTATGTGTTCGATCGTCAATTGTGGTGGTTGTCGGGATCACTTGCTATTGTCCACATGTTAAAGCCAAATAATCATTGAGATCCATCCCATTTTGTGTCCTTTGAATTGTCCCTGAGCTGTTGTGTTTTGGTTGAAAGATTACCTTGTGTGTGATTGGCTTGCTTGGGGACAAGCAAACGTTCAAGTGTGGGGGAATGATTCAGGCCTATTAACACATATTTTTGATCGTTTGACATGGTAAATGATGTCCCTCGACCCATTTTATGCTAGGTTGTGCTTATTTTATATATTCCAGGGCGTAGCACGTGTGGGAAGATCGTGAACGAGTTTTGGACGAATGGAGGTCGAAAAGTGCCAAAGTATGAAGAAAGTTCCAAGATCACGGGCTGGGAGAAATTTTCATCGTCTTCCAGCCTGTGAAGATTGATCTGCAACCGTAACAGTTGATGAGGAACAGGGGCAGATGTCCGATATCACGGTCGTGACATCTAGACCGTGAAGATGGCACTCGGGCAGAATAAATAGAAGGTTGTTGGGAGAGAGAAGGAGAGCTGGGCTAGAGTTTGGATTTTCTGGGTTCCTTTCTAGGGTTCCAACCCAAAACCCCAATGGGCGACTTCTAGAGAGAGATATCTAGAGGGTCCTTGGAGTTTGCTTGGAGGAGGTCACCCACCATTGAAGCTTGAAGATGAACCCCTAGAAAATAATGATGGAAGAGTCTGTGCTTTTTATTGTAATCTCTTTCCTCTCTATGAACTAAACCCTCTTCTCTTATGTTGACGAACCCTAGGTTCTAGCTTTTAGATTTGTGTTGGTTTAAGTGGCAGATTGTGTATTTTGATTGATGAATTTATCTAAGTGTTGGATGGGTTTCATGAATTTCTTAAGTTAGGTTTCCTTGTCATGTCAATTGAGCTTTTAAACTAGGAAGGAGATAGTCTACTGCTCAGCCTATATCGTCCGGGTAATCCCCGAGGGAGTTGATTGGATCGATCTCCCACGATATAGTTTTGCCCTAGATTGAATAGAGCACCACCTATCCATAACCTGGTCGTTCCACGTCCATCCCAGGGGAGTCAACCTCCTAGCGGTAAGGTAGTGAGTCGATCACGCAAGGATGGTACTTAACATCGATTAAATGATGGAACGAGGGGGTTCAAACTTAAGAGAGTTCCCAACTTGTAATTAGCTAGGTTAGTTATAGTAGTTTTCCTAATCACTATTCTAGGTTGGCCAGATGACGAACCCTCAACCCGAAGTAAGGTAAGCCTAGACCCCCGTGGTACGATAAATTTTATTGCTTGCTTACCCTATGCTACATTCGGTCTTCGGTTATACTTGGCTGTCAATTGGGAATGGTGTAGCTAGAGCGAGTCAGAGATGCTGGAGCAAGGATTCAAAGACCATACGCCATTGAAAATAGGTGCCAACAATGCCATTTTATTAAAGAGAAAAGGCGCACCCGACGCTGTTTTGGGGGAGATGTCTACTTCGTAGGAAGTTGTCTAGAGGCATCCTGATTCACTGCCACGAGTTTGTAGGATTCTGATTGGCCGAATGATGCAGTAAGGGTGATTTTCCATCCTCTAAAAGCCTAATCGAAGATCTATAAATAGGGTCTAGAGCTAGAGTTCGGATGGGAAGACACAAGAGGTCATGAAATGGTCATTATTTTGACAACAAAGTAACCCTTTTGACATAGAGCGACACCACTTTGAGGGAGAATCGACGGAAAAATCGGCATAACTAGGCCGGATTTCTCTGTTCCGACCGTCGATTCTTGTGGTCTTCGGGAGTTTTTGTTTTCGACATTGAACGCCAAAGACATCCTCTCCATGGTTGGCTAAGTTCCTTAGTTCCGTAGGTACATGAACCCTAGGGGATCTAGCTATGTAAACTCGATGATTTGGCTAATATGATTGTTTGATTTTCAAATGTGTGATGCTTGATTTCCTCTATTTCGGTATTTTTTTATTTGAATGAATCCTTAGTCGATCTTACACACCTTAGAGGTGCAAGACTCATAATCCTAGTCGTTTAGGATGGGACTATAAATAGCACTCCTACTCGATTGAACCTCATTCGATGAAATGGTGTGTTGCCTCAATGAATAAATTCGAAGGGACCATGTCGCTCATTAGTTCGGGTAAATAATTTTATACAAGATGAGATCTAACAAAACAAGAAATCAGCAGCTCGTATGGTCCGATCAACGAGGGTGTGGGGTTAGGAAACCTAGGGGGATTGTTGCATATGCAACACCTTCCTTCTATGCTCTCTTACTTCTATAGTACCTTTAGATTTACTTATCTGGACTTTCTTTACATACGAACACCTAAATTCTACAAAACCCGGACAAGGCATATGCTACCCTTTTGTGCTTGCCTTGCATGTACTTTATTTCATAGTCCAAGCCAAGTAGCTTGACAAACCCTTTCTTCTGAATGTGTGTGAAATTTCTATCCTAAGAGGTACCTAGGACTTTCATAGTCAGTAAGAATCACAAATGGTTTTCCCTCCAAATTGTGCCTCCATTTAGTGACTACCAATGACACAGCCAGATATCCCTTCTCATAGGTAGACAACCCTTGATGCCTAACTCTTAGGGACTGACTTAATTAACCAAGCATGCCTTCTGGAGTAAGGACAGCTCCTACCCCTAATTCACTTGCATTTTTCTCTAATATGAAAGGCTTACTGATTCAGGCAATGCTAACACTAGTAGTTGAGTTATATCTGTTTTAAGTTGGTGGAAGGCTAGCTCAGCTTTGAGAGTTCCATGTAAATCCATTCTTCTTTAGCAAATCAGTAAGTGGTTTTCTAATAAGACCATAATGCCTGAAAAACTTCATATAATACAAAGTAAGACCCAAGAACCCCCTCAACTCCTTTACATTTTTTGGAACTGGCCATGACTCCATTGGTGCAATTTTGGAGGAATCAGTATATACCCCTTTCGCTATTGATTTATGTGTCCCAAGTATTCCACATATGTTTGACCAAAAGAGCATTTAGAGGGTTTGGCAAACAATGTGTGTTTTCTAAGGATGCCCAGGGTTAGACATAAGT